TCCCTCATGTCGAAGGTGGCCCTCTGGGTCCCGCCGTTGGCTGTCGCAGGGGTGCCCGCGGCCGACGCTTGGCGTGTCTTGTCCATGTTCTGCACGTTGACATAAGACGGGTCATCGAACAGGTCCGTGCGACCAGCCGCGCCTGCCGGAGCCGGGTATTTCTCTCTCCCTGCTACCAAGAGCACTGCAGTCAGCAAGGCTCCAGCTTGCCGCGGCCCCAACACCAGTGCCCGCCATCGGAGCACCTGGGGTCCAGGAAAGCAGACAAGGACTGGCCGCATCCATCACGTTACCTTGGGCAGGAGTGTGCTGCTTCCGGGGGTCATACTCCCCGCCAGATGACTGGCCGACGGGCTGCAGGGAGAGGCGGGGGGGGGGGGCGCGCCAGGGCGCACCCCATCCCACACCCTAGGCTGCTAGAGGTGCCAGGGCTCTCGTGGTGGAATAACCATGAGTAACAAGCCCATGGCCCGTTCAGGGTCCCTGCATCTCCCTTGTAACATGGAGCTTCCCCAGGCGGACGTGCCCAGAGGCTTACCAGCGTGGCCCCCAAGTGATTGGGGGTCTGAGCAGCTCCTTCCCGCAGCCGCATGTCCACAACCCCCCCGATGGGAGGCTCCTTGCCAGGGAAGTCGTTGTAATACTGGTGATCCGGGGCTGGTTCCTCCTCTTCCTCATCCCAGGCAGAGCCATCAAACCCTGCCATCCTGGGAGAGCACGGCACAGATAAGCAGTTGACAGCAGCCAGGGCTGCATCCCCTCTCCAAAAAAATCAACCTCAGACACCCTCCCACCTCCTTCCTTCCCACACAGCACTGCCCCTACCTGTCATGGGGTGTCACCAGCTTTGGGGGGTTCTTCAGGTACTGCTTGAACCGCAGCTCAAAGGCCTGCCCAATGGTGCTGATCACATCCTGCGCCAAGCCCTCGGGGCACTCCAGGATGTGGCAGGCTGGGGAGGGAACGGTGGGATGGGAGTGTGGAACCCCAATGTGAAGTTCTCCACCCCTCCAGCCTGCCCTGTGCACCCCAGAGCCTAGGGGGACCCAGCGCCACACCGAGCGGTGCCTAAACATCCACAAAACAGGGCTCTGGCATTTAGGACCCTCGGCAGCAGCCTCACCTCTCTGGTTCACAGGGTCTTTGGCAACATAGGCGACGTACTCGGCTGTGTCCTGTGGGTGAGACACTGGCGGTGAGACAGGGCTGCTGGGGAGCACGGTGCCCGAGACTTTGGGGAGAGGGCAGGAGAGGCACCGATCCCTAGCACGGGGCAGGGCACGCATGGACGGGGACCCTGCGTACTCACCGGGTCTCCCCCAGAAGCGAAGGAGATGGACTGCATGTGGTGGTTGGCGATGATCTGCAAGGCAGAGAGTTTGTTGGACGCAGGCAGGAGCTCCTCTGCGCCCAGCTGGAGGTGGCATCTCC